TTTATTCCTGATATCCAAATAATTTCCTTCAACTATAATATAAAAACTGTTTAGTCTGATCTGCATATAAAATCTTTTCATCCCAAATGGTATTTTATAATGAATATAATTATTTGCTGGAGGGAAATTTAAATTAACTATATACCATGGGTGAAATTTTGACTCCTGTAAATTTTTCATCTCACGATCAATTGAATTATTATACATATTCTCCACCAATAAAGAAATTCCGTAATTCCAGTCTGTTTCTGTACTGTTAAATACTAAATGAGACAAACCATAACTTTCCAATTTGATCCTAAGTAATTCAAAAATAATGCATATATTAATATTAATTTGAGTACCATACTTTCCTAATCATTAATTAAATTTGGAAATTATTAGAACAGATGATAATTATTTATTAATCAATTAATTTTGTAAAAGTAATTGTAGTTTTCTTTTATTTGTTTCTTATAATATAACAACTTAATATATAAAACTTTATTAATTAATTTGTTGTAGGTTTTTTGAATATTAAATTTGCTTTTTCTGAGTAATTTTCATTTTATTTATGATAAATTTATTATTTTTAGTGTTATCTACATCAATCTAGTTGGTTCTGCAGTTCCTGGTTTCGAGAAGCTTTTCACCATGATAGTGAACACTCAACATTTCGTTGGACTAGTATACTCTTATTAACAGTTGAAGCTATTGTATTTATGGTTTGCTATGGAGTTGGAGGTACTATGAGGTAGGTTTATTATTTACTTTACTATTAGATATGTAATTCAGATATTTTAAAGTAAATAACACAAAATGAGCTATCAGAAAAATTTTTTGCATTGACAAATTATGTATAATTTTGAAACTAATTGATTTTAAAAAATTTGCTTTTTTATTAATTTTGTAAACTGTAGTTTTCTTTTATTTAGTTCTTGTAACATAACTAATGACTTAATGTATAAAACTTGATATTATGGAGGAAGTGAATTTCCATATCTTTAATAAAGTAAAATTTTAGATATTATTTCCTGTTTATCACCAATGAATTGGTAGACAGAAGCTTTAATGCTTACTCATTTAAATGAATTTTAATCTGTATAAGCTCCCTTAACTACTTAAAGTTAAAAACAAACAAAAAAAAAAAAACATCAACTTGTTATCATATGTTGAGAACATATTTGAAAATTTAAATAGTTCACAACCAACAACTGCCTACCCTTAACCATTAACCGGTGCGAAATTCTTTAAAATCAGCAAACATTTTCAATTCCCCTCCTGGGATCTTCTTCAGGCTTACTTCTTTATATCTTTCGTTATAACCGGATTCTCGGTTATAACGAAAGATATAAAGAAGTAAGCCTGAAAAAGATCCCAGGAGGGGAATCGAAAACGTTCGCCGATTTTAAAGAATTTCGCACCGGTTAATGGTTAAGGGTAGGCAGTTGTTGGCTGTGAAGTTATACAACCCGGTGTGGTAAGAAAGCATATTAATTTAAATAGTTCATACCAAAAAATATTAGAATAGTCCTGATTAAATATAAAAAAATTATATGACTATTACATGTTAAGAAGAAAATATTAAATCTATATATAAATGAAATGTTTGTTTGCTATATACTCCTAGGTCATGCAATCAATTGCTATGAAACTCTGCAGTTAAACTTATTTACTTCTTAGATAATGTTGTACATCCCACCCCAAAATATCAATTGGATTTCTGTAAATCAATCAATTTCTATCTATATTCAATTTGCTGATTTACATGTAGCTTCATCTATTGGCAAAAAAATTTAACAAAAAAATTAAATATAATTCTTACAAAAAAATGATATAATTTGAAAAATATATATATTACATTAATTTTTAAAAAATATACTGTGGGTGATCCGTTAATGAACATAATCCATTCCAAGACCATGTTTGTTACCCGAATTGTTCATTAACCGATTATTGATTTGCCATAGATTTGTATGGGAATTTGATTAATTCATTCTGGAGACTCCAAAAAATAAATAAAATATTATATACTTTCTTACTATATTTATTTACATGTAATAACAAAAATGCATACATACACAGTCTTGCAATTTTATCAGTCATGTTTTTTTCCATTTGTGGGACGTTAAAGAAGCTGTTTATTATCGATTGCTTTCTTTCTTCTTCAGGATTTTTCAGAAGTAATTAATAACATTGTCGTTGAAAAGATCTCCAAGCCTATTAATTAACCTCAACCTGCTTTGGATGCTATTTTAAGATTGTTGTTCTGACATCTTCCCAATTCATTAAAAGTTCTTTAATATCAGATATTGGCATTGGTCCTCTTTCATCTTTTTTTTTTCAGAAAAAAAATACATCTAATTGTAATTCTTGTTTCTTCATTTAAAAGTTCTTGGGGTTCTTCTGATGTCAGATCAGTTTCAGTTTCCATTATGAGCTCTTCAATGTCATCTTTATAGATTCCCAATTCGAAATCTCTAACAGTTGTCACAATTTCATCCATAAGGGTGTGACTATGCAGACGCAAGCAAGTGAATTTTCCAAGCCAGCGAGAATATCTGGCGAGAAGAGGCGAGACGCGATAAATATACAACCCTGTCGGATATGTGTGAGAACCAGAAATTTGCTCTCGCCAGCGATATTTCTCGCTTCTTACTTGTGCATGGTTTTTCTTTGTGAGAACTATATCTCTCACAACCTCTTGCTCGCTACTAAATTCGCATTTGCATAGTTGCACCCTAACTTTAGGGACATCATCTATGTCTCCCTGAATCCAGGAGAGACACAGCTTTCGCCAAGTATTTAACTGTTATTGAATGACTTCTGACCACGCCTTTTGAATGAGTCAGATAGCTTCAAGAATATCAAATTTTTCTTTCCAAAACATTTTTAATGTCATTGTTGAGGAGAACTGTCATGCTTCAAAACATCTTGAATTTTATCTCCTCATGTGACGAATGTGGAGTTTGTTTCTTCAATTCTCCAAAAATTTCTCTAGCTTTCTCTTGAATGATAGTCATACTAGTTACATCTCTTTTCATTTCCCTTTCTTTTATCCAAATTAAAAGTAATCTCTCCATTTTTTTCATGGATAGCATATCTTTGTTTCTCAGATATGATTTTTGTTATTCCTTTAGCTGCTTGAGCTTCTTGATTATATCTTTCATAGCTAAGATTGTGCCTACTGGAGACCTGTTTAAGCCATACTGTCTAGCAACATCAGACATCTTCTGCCTATTTTCTACCTTGGCTATTATCTCGCTTGGTTTCTATAGTGAATGCAGTTCTTGACGCTCCACTCTTTAGGCTCCATAATATTATCAGTTTTTTTTTTTTAAATGACAAGTTCAGAAAAGCACTTACAAAAATTCAGAGAACAGAAATCAACTAGTGCACAAAAATATGATTTAAATGTAAGGCTCAGACAGAATTTGAAATTTGGCATTAAAATGTTAACGAATATCTGATGGGATAGTTAAACTCTCACCTTTCGAAAATAAGAACCGATGCAAAACTTCACATGTGCCTGACAGTCTTGTGAAGACTAAAGAATTCTTTGTCAGAAAAGTAAATAAAAGGCTGGAATTACAATGGAGAGTTTTAAAGTTCAGAGGAATACTATCTGATCGGTATTGGGTTGAGCATTGATGTTGATGTCTCCTGCACTCCAAAAGGTTTTGAATTGCTACCTGGAAACAAGGAAAGACCAATTGGTATTCATCATTTTATTTTACGTTCATGTGTTTCTGTGAGGTGTTTGTTGTCCGAACCCAAAAATCTTTCAGGAAAGTGTTCATTGTTCGATTTGTTTGCAGTCCAAACTGTTCATTAACCAATCACCCACTATATACTGCACTTAATTACTGCAACAATGATATAGTTTGAAATAGATGCACTATATCATTACTGAGACAGGTACCACATAGCACTTGCTACTCGGATTTTTTCATTTCTGAATGGTACTTTCTTAATAAGAATCCTCCAGTATCTGAGTGGATAAAACCACTCAACACTGATAGTTAGTTGTGGGTTTGGGCATGGCCAATAGGCTGGCCATGTGCAGTTTTCTGGGTTTTCTTCACTTTAGTAACACCTAAATAGGATTCAGCTTTACATAAGTCTTCCCAAGATGTATCCCCCTTTGCAGATCACTCATGTGTCACAATTTGCCAACAATACATTTGATTTGCTGATTTACACATAGTGCCATCTATTGATGCTATGTGTAAATCAGCAAATCAAATATTACATTTTTTAAAATTTCTTGCACTATGTGTAAATTGCAAAAAAATATTCTAAAATACAGTTAATGATAAAACTTCTGTAAGTACGAATTCATCTTATTTGATGTCGTTTCCTGGTAATGTCGATTGTTATAATAGTTTTCATAATCTGTATTCCTTTTTCTGAAGACTTTGTATATTCTAAAGACTTTCAGTCTCTTAAGTCTCACTTTGTTACAGCTGATTATGCCACCCAAGAAATGCTTTTTTCATGAAAAGTCTTCTGCTGCTAAAAGAATGCAAGCACAAAGAGCAACTGAAATAAAAGAAGAATGCAATCAAAGACTTCAAATACAAGCTCAAAGATAAACTGTATACAGACAGCAAGAAACTTCTGAACGACTTCAAACCAGACTTCAAGCACAGCAGTTAAGACAAATAAGTTATAGACAGCAAGAAACAGAAAACAGATGTGATGTGCAACTTCAGACTCAAAGAATAAGACAAACTCAATCACGACAGTGAGCTTTCAACATTTGGCAGTGGAATTTAAGTGCCTTTAACTATAATCTACAGTATAGCTATGCATCTGACAATGTGGTTATTATTGGATCAATGTCTAAAATATGTGCTAAGTGTGGTGCTAAGAAATGAGCTAAAGAATCACCTGGAATGTGTTGTAACAATGGAAAAGTGCAATTACCCATATTTTCAGACCTTCCTGCACCTTTGAAAACTTTACTTACACACAATACATCTGAATCAAAACACTTCTTACAAAATATTCAAGCGTACAATTCTGCATTTCGGTTGACTTCATTTGAATCTAATATCATTATTGAGGTTTTTTGGCTACATTTAAAGTTTAAGGTCAAATATATCACGAAATAGGTCCACTATAGTCAGGTCAAAGTACAAGTGTACTTTGTGACACAGTAAACAATAAGTGCTGGTTGAATTACATACTTGATATAAGCACAGTTGACAGTTAACAACACAACCTCAAGATGGCTAGTTGTAGTAGAATGTCATCAAGATGTTTTTACAGCCATGATTCAAGTGATGAAAATTTTGATAGTGACGATACCAAACAGGACCTGAATTATTCTAAAAATGATAGTGACTTGGAATCAAGTGAATCAATCCATTTAGATATTGAAGATGAATTATGTGATGTGAATGACTCTAATAATGACAACGCTACTTCAAAGGATGTATGGAAAACTATTAGCAATAACTCACCTGTAAAGCAGCAGGTCTTTCCTCAAACATTTAGTGAAGGAGTGAAAAACATAAGTTTGTGTGTGAGTTATGACCCAATAAAGTTTTAAGAACTATTTGTAACTTTGAAATTATTGAACATATAACAGATCAAACAAACATTTATACTACACAATTATTTGCAGCAAAAAAAATCAGTAGACGTAGTCGACTAAGTCAATGGAAAAATACCAATACACAGGAAATGAGAAAATTCCTTGGACTTCTACTATGGATGGGGTCAGTTATATATCCAAAGTTAAGTGACTACTGGAGTAAGAAACACATGTACAGAAATCATATTGCACCACAAACCATGTCACATAACAGTTTTGAAATATTGCTAACCACATGGCATTTTTCAAATAATGAAGAAGCTCATGGAGACCAACTACATAAAATAAATTGTCTGAAGGACAAACTTGAAGACCTATACCAATATTATAATATACCTGGTGAACATTTATGTTTAGATGAAACAATGGTCCCATTTAGAGGACAATTACTTTATCGTCAGTATATTCCTAGAAAATGTCATAAATATGGTGTTAAATTATTCAAAATTTATGATACTACTGGATACACTTATAGCATACAGATTTATGAAGGTAAAAGTGAAAGAACACAGGAAAATGTTTCCCTACCAACCAACATCGTGCTCAAGCTAGGCGAAAAGTATTTTGGCGAAGGACATATATTCACTACAGATAATTACTATACATCAATAGAGCTGGCAGAACCTTTATTAGAAAGAAGTACCTATCTTGTAGGAACCCTGAGAAAAAATACAAAGGAAGTAGTAAACAAAAAGCTATCTAAAAATGAAATTATTTGAATGCATAATGAAAAGGGGAATAGTTGTAGCTAAGTGGAAAGATAAACAGGATGTGCTTATGTTGTCTACAAAACATACAACAGGAATAACTTCTACACATAAAAGAAACAGAAAAAAACAAGAAGAAATTTTGAAACTTAAAATGGTTCAAGACTACAATATTGGGAAAACGGGTATTGATTTATCTGATCAATATGTTACAGTAGAACCCCTCTAGTCCGCCCTCGGTTAGTCCGTCACTCCGGTTAATCCGATCGTGGTCGGAGTCGAGAAACTTGTCCTGACTTGTCAGTAACTCAACGTCCGTAGCGTTCTTCTGTGTTCGTTACAGTATATGTTTTACATTGTGTGTGTTTTCAACATGCCAGGAGTGAAACGTAAACACGTTACCCTTTCATTAAATGAAAAATTAGCAGTGCTACAAAGACTGGACAAAGGGAAGATTGTTTATTTTACTTTTTTCTGATAATCCAACCTTTTTTGCGTTCCAACCATACCTCCAGTCCCAAAGGTGACGGATTAGAGGGGTTCTACTGTAGTTACTGCAGTGCAGTGTGAAAGTTGGTAAAATGGTATTGCAAAGTTGCAATGGAGCTAATTTTTGGGACTACCATTGTCAATGCACATATTATTTACAATAAGATATCCAATAAAAAATTATCCATTATTACTTTCAAAGAGTTTTTAGTGGAGAGTTTACTTAGTGATAAAAGTCATGAAGAACCTGCAGTTATAAACCTGAAAAAACATATATTGGAAAAAATTGGAGATGTTGACAAGAGAAATAGAAAAATAAGAAAGCATTGTGCATCCTGCTACATTAAAAATACATGGCAATTAGGATGTCATAAAGCTGATAAAGCGAGTGTAACACTGCGAGTTACTACATATTGCGCAGTGCCCAGGAAAACCTGCAATGTGTGCAAATTGTTTTGTAAAAAATCATTAATGAATATTATATATGTATGTAAAACTTTTATAATCATTAAATTTTTTTTTCATAAATATATATTATTTCGCATTTATATACTTTGATTTTTGTTTTGCAATATTATTTACTTTATAATATTTATAATATGTAATAAAATAGAATAATTAAACTAGTTTTTGATAATTTTTTCCTTTTTTTTTAACTATCAGGTCAGTCCATAAGTTCTTGCGTATTTTATAACCTTGAGAAAAATCTTGTTTTGCTGTTAAAAATGCCAGTCTAATGTGATACTTTTTACACTGAAGTGTTAAATTGGATCTCATTCATATAATACTGTTCAGAATTGGGAACATTTCAGTTGTTTATTTTCGTTAAAATGGAAGTAACAGATGAATATAAGAGACATGTTTTATACTTTTTATTTTTAAGTGATGAGAATGCTACAAATGCAGCCAAAAAATTAAATACTGTTCATAATCAAACTGTAATTAGTGTAAGGACTGCGCAGAAGTGGTTTGAAAGATTTAGAAATAATGATTTTAGTGTGGAGGATAAGGCTCGTACTGGAAGACCCGTTGACTTTGATGATGATGCTCTCTCTGCACTAGTTGAAGCAGAACCATCTTTAACAGTTGATGAAATTGCGGAACGTTTAAATTCATCCCATGGAACTGTTCATAGACATCTACAACAAATCGGAAAAGTTTCAAAGCTAGGAAAATGGATACCACATGAACTGTCAATAGCTAACTGACAACAACGTCAACTGCTCAACTCAAAAGCTTCAACTGGGAAATTTTACCTCATCCACCATATTTGCCAGATATTGCTCCCAGTGATTATCATCTTTTTCGGAGTTTGCAGAATTTTTTAAAAGGAAAAACTTTTGAGGATGAGAACAATGTAAAAAAGGCTATTTCTGAATATTATGATTCAAAACCGAAATCATTTTACAAAGACGGGATTAAAAAGCTACCATCAAGATGGCAAGAAATTGTACAAAATAATGGTGAATACATTATAGATTGAAATAAAATTTAGTTAAAATTTTTTGTTGCTTTTTTTGTAGATAAAAATGTGCACAAACTTATGGACTGACCTGATATTTACTATTAAAAAAAACACTCAGTTGTAGAATAATTTTTTATCAAAAAAATCTGAAATAATGTTACTTAAAATTTTTATTAATAATAGAGAATACAAACACTTAATACATGTACAGTATGCATATTTGAAGTTATCACATATACATATTTCACGCACACCATACACTGGTACAGTACATAGCACCAAATCCAATTTTATTAATTTAGCAATTATTATGATGACATTTATTTGTATTATTTAAAAATAATAAGACATTTGTCTTATTTGTTTATTTGTTAATCCAGCACTGGCTATTACTAATTACTACTTTAGAAATTTCTTTATTTCATAATTATAATGTAAAACACTGAATTTAAATATCAAATAAAATAAAAATTGTTTGAATTAGAAACAGTATAATTAACTAATTTAATAATTTGATAACTTCATGCTGTAGATAAATTACATTATATTAAAATGTGTTGTAATCTATTGGTAATATTAAAAATATAAAATAATTAAATTTGAAAAGTCTAAAAAATTAACATAATGGAGCAAAATTCAAACATCTAACACTTGCTTATTGATCTCAACAAGTTCAGTATTAAAAGCAACTTATTTAAATGGGGCCCCAATTAAAATTATGTCTATGGCCTCTAGAGGCTTAATCTAGCACTGGTAATAACAAACAAAATTGAATAAAAGAAAAAATATAGTAAGAAGTTTCATATTTTAATGTAGAAATGAATCTTAATTTATTAATTTTTCATTTCAGAAAAGCATATTTGCCAATTGAAAGCTTTTTTTTATTATTTTTACTCCTGCTGAATGTGATTATAGTTTGTTGGGATAATATGTTGAGACATAAGGAAATGCATAATAAAGCAGAAACACTTTTAAAATGCATTGAAGGTAAGTAGATTTTATCATTTGATTAATATAAATTTCTGTAAAATAATAACTGTAAATTGAACTTCAATATTTTATTTTATATAAATACAATAGAGCCTCGATTATCCGATCCCCGATTAACCGACCATCCTGGTCGGCAAATTTCAAATGTCCGCTAGTGATGTGGCGCTACAATATTTGGCTATGTCTTGGTTACTTTAATATTATTTTTGTGTGTTTTAGCTGGCAACACTCATTCGACCATGAAAGGGAGCCAGTATTTAAACGAGGCTTAATTTTCTAATTTTTATTGATACAATAGCGACGATTATTATTTTAAAAAATTTTTGTTAGGCTTAACATCGATGAAAATTCAACGCAAAGTAGGTTAATAGCGATATACTAATATGCTAATTACATGGGATATAATAATATACTACACTAATAATGGATTTTTTCATGCTTTTTGGTTATCCGACTTTTCAATTATCCACCAACCCCAGTCCCCAATTGGGTCGGATAATCGAGGCTCTACTGTAAATAAAGAAATATATATATGTTACTGTGAATGACTGATATCTGGCGAATGTCAGCATTCTCCGGTGAATGTCAGCATTCACACAGTCGTTTCGTGTATGTATGAAATATTTGCTAAATATCATCATTTCTCACTTACATCGGAAAATGTCAATATTCAACATGCACTGATGGTGAATGTTGAATAAAAATATTTTTGTTATGTTAAGACAAAAATGCAACTTTTTAATATGTCAAAATAGGAAAAAGCTTAAGTAATGGCACATGTAAATAAACTGTTGAACCTAAAATGAACAGTACATTCTAAACCATTAAAAAAATAATATAATAATAAACTTACACATAAATTATGTGATTGACGTTATACAATCTTATTTATTGCAACAACTTAAACTGTTATGGCAGTTTGAATTGCATAGGAGTCCCTTTCTTTTACAACTGCATTTATTCGTGGAACACTTCTTTTTGCAATGACAGCATGTACAGTAGACCTCCTATAACACTAGATAATTCCATGTTATATGAATTTCATCTTGTTAGGTGTATTAAGTTCACGGGTTGGATGTCACGCCAACTTATGTCAATCAAAACTTCTTCCAAGAACGTCAGTCTATGAGGCGTTAAAACGGCTAGTATCGTTAATGTTTTAAATTTAAATGTATGGTTCGAATTCTTTATTCGAATTTAATTTTACCTAAAGACGACGTGCTTATTTACATCGACAGCGCTCGTAAATTAAAATAATTTCAAGTATATTTAACGCCTCATAGACTGACGTTCTTGGAAGAAGAAGTTTTGATTGAATTTCATGTTGTACGAGTCACTTAGATTTTACAAATACGTGTGCTGGGCTGTGAACGGCTCACATATTTGTAAAATCTTGTACAACATGGAATTCATATAACACGGAAGTATCTACAGTGTTATAGGGGGTCTACTGTATAGCCTTACTTTCTGCTTTTCGAATTAGCTGTAGTTGCTTCTCTCAGCAATATTTCTTGAGAAGAAATTTCATCTATGAAAAGTAACTTTTCTTTACAAACTACAAACTGATTACGTTATTACGTGATTACAAACTGATCTGTTAATGGTGTCTTTTATTTGGATATCGCCGATGCCTTACCGACGACCTCTCTCATCCTGCGCCACTTGACCTGACTAACTGATTCCCACCTCATGGGATCAAAAGAACAAAAACACCATCCAGTGACAAAGTGGGCGATTTCCACCAAACCGTTGCCGGAAAAAGAGGTACGACCTTGTCCTACCTTCGACTACCTACAAAGGATTTGGCGACAGACTGTCGNTCTTTCTTAAAATTAAACTAGAATTTTTTAAGGAATATAAAAAAAAGAAATTTAATTTTTATTCTCTAGAAGAAGGAATAAACAATAAAAAAAAAGGGAAAGAAAATAAAGATGAAGGCATCTTTACCTGAAGCAAATCTCTAACAGCTCAGGCGATCTGTAATTGGATATAGCTTATGTACAGTATTGTTTTTTTTTATATATATATATAAAGAAATCTTTATATATATAATAAATAAAGAAATAAAAGAAATAAATAAATATAAACAAACAACACTAACACGACAACATTAAATCTAAATACCAAAATGATTAATTTACTGTGTTTTTGTTATTTCTTACTCCTGTTTTTAGGTATTCGGTATTTGGCCGAATAGCGAATACCTAAAACCAGGAGTAAGAAATAACAAAATAATGTTTTGTTTTCTTGTAGAAAGTAATGATAAAAGGTTGTATTATCAAATAATGTCTTATCAAAGATACATATTTCATACAATATTCCTACAAAATAATAAAAATGGAACACAGATAAATATTCCATATTACTATTTTATTTTAGAGAATTCTAAACATTTATTAGTGAAATTTAAATAATTAAAAATTTAATTAAAGCCAATAAAAAATGCTTAAGATAATTATAATGTATACATCTAATTTAGAATGTTCAAAATATGCTGATGAAAGTCCTGAACAATATCCTCATTTATATATGCCTCAGTCACCCTGCATATCACTTCAGTGGACACAAAGAAATGGAAAAATTGTGAATTTGCCATGCCATTTTCTAGTCAAAAACGATATCATTATTTTGAGGCCAGGTCATTTTGCACCAGGAAGATGTCGCTGCATTGAAGAGGTATTGTAAATTTTTATGCATGAAATATTTCATTGTGATTTAGAAAGTTTAATAATTTAATTTTGTTTTTTGAGATAATTTTAGTAAGATATATATATTTATTTGTTTAAAATGAATAATTATGTATTAAACCAAATACTGGATTTATTAGGCTAATTAACTACATAATTTAGCTAAAGCTAAGTGGTTAAACTGTTTTCTAGCATTAATGTTAATCATTAGAAATTAAATTTAAATAAATTATATAATTGGAATATTTTGAAGAAGGGATTGATTCAGAATGAAGAATAGTTCATGCTCCATTCTGGGTCATATATCTTTTCTTCATACTGTACAGTACATGTGCATTAAACCATTTACACTACGTACTATCTATGATCTTCACTTCACAAGTGTAATTTGTGATTTCTGTTAAATATTAATAATATACTTTGCTGAAAAATTAATTATAATTCATGATTTGTGAACTTGCATTGTTAAACCTATGAAATCATAACTGTCTAAAATTAAAATAAAATGGGATCTATAGGTTGTATAAACTTAACACAGATATATACAAAGAATATATATAATAATATAATAAGAACATATTATACAGTGTTGTATAAATAAACACAGATGAACACAAAGAGTAATGTTTTGAGGATAATAAAATAAAGTAATTAACATTAAACTACATGCAAAATGTAAATACTATGAAAATCATAATAAAAAATACTGTGAAATTAATTGAAACTTAGCACCATTATAATAATAGCATTAAGAAATCAAATTATAAAATTTATAATTATCATATAAATTGTCATAATATTTAAAATATACATTAATGATGATTTACATGAAAATTAATTAATATGTAAATGAATTATATTATTACTAAAAATTTTAAATTTCCAAAATTTTAAAATTATTTTTAAAGTTTTATTTTATATAATATACTTGATTAGTTTCTTTAATAATTGAAGTTATTTTAGAGTTAAGTATTAACTAGCTAACTAGTAAAAGTTTTTAACAAAAAAAACTTGTTACAAAATTTTATTGAATAAATAATCTTTAAATTTTTCAATTTATAATAAATATTAAACTGAATTAATAATTTTGATAAGCATAAAAAAACCCCAACAGACAGTGAATATCACGTAGAGAAGTCAATCAGCATAAATATATCATCAAAGTTCAGAGCAGAATCCTTTTCAGCAATTAATTTTTATGGATTTGATTGTTAAAATTAATTTTTTGTTAAAGTCGAACTATAGTGGAATCTCGTTTTAATGGATTGCTTGGTGCATCAAAAATCACCTGTTGTTCCAAAAATCCATTATATCATGAACAATGGATTTCTCGCACATCCAGGAAAATATCCTTTATTCAAAAAAATTTGTTTTTTAAACCCATACATAAAAAACATCTGTATTTGAAATTATTCAGTCTCTTGAAATTTCTATCCTTTATTTTATATAAACATGTACGAGGGTAGTCCCAGAAGTACCCGACCTAACAAAGAAGACACAAAAAATTTGGTAAAACATATCTTTATTTTTCAACATAGTGTCCTTTTAGCTCGATACACTTTTTCCTGCAATGTACAATAGCTTCGATCCCCTGTTTATAGTGAGAACTGTCGAGCTTCTCAAAATAGCCATCAACCGCAGACTCCACCTCTTCATTGTTGGCAAATCTTTTATCACCGAGCCATTTTTTTAAGTTTGGAAAGAGAAAATAATCCGAGGGGGCTAAATCTGGCAAATAGGGTGCGTGAGGAAGCAATTTGAACCTTAACTCATTGATTTTGGCTATTGTAATAACGGATGTGTGAACTGGTGCGTTGTCTTGATGAAACAACATTTTCTTTTTCGGCAAATGTGGCCGTTTTTTCTTGATTTTATCACTCAAGCGCTGCAATAAGTTCACGTAATACTTGCCGTTGATTGTTTTTCCTGGGTGCCTCCCAAAAAACTAACGCCATGACCTTGCCAGCAGATGGAACTGTTTTCGCCTTCTTTGGAGCAGATTCTCCCCTTTCAGTCCATCGTTTCGACTGTTCTTTTGTCTCGGGTGTGAAGTGATGGACCCATGTTTCATCCATGGTTATGAATTGATGCAGAAACTCGGCTTTGTTGCTGCGAAACATTGCCAAAGACTCGATTGAAATATCCTTAGGACGCTGTTTTTGTCCCATTGTGTGCAAACGCGGCACCCATCTTGCGCACAGCTTTCTCGTGTCCAAATTTTCAGTTAAAATGCGATGTACAGCACTTTTTGAAATGCCTACCATGTCTGCTAGCTCTCGCACTTTGAGTTGACTGTCATCCAATACCATTTTGTGGATTTTTCCACTACAGGTATACCTCGCCTTACGTCGGTAATTGGTTCCAGGAGAACGACTTAAGTCAAATTTACTTGTCTCCAAATCTACTTGTAACTAGGCTAAACCATAAATTGCCAATTCCGGTTCTGTATTTTATTTATTAATGCATTTTTAATAATGTATGGTTAATAAGGATCTATTTTAAGCTTACAAACAAATAAATTTTAGTATTTAATATAGTACAGAAAAAAGTAATCTAAATTTACGAATGCATGTACTGTAAATACAGTACATACTTGTAAATGTATATATTTTAATATGATTTTATGTGCTTTAAACATTTTTCTAGTGATATTACGACTTCAATATTTGTGGCGGACACGCGTAAAGTCGAATAAAATAACTTAAACTTGATTTTTATTTTTCCATATACTTTTTTGACAAACGACATATAATCGGGAACGACGTAACTCGAAACGACGTAAGTCGAGGTATACCTGTATATATAAAACAGGATTTTAAAACATTAAGTTCAGTAATATATGTATTAACTTTAATATTTTTGTGTATGTTTTTTTAAATGATATTCTCCATTATGTATTTTAATATTATTTCATTTATTTTATAATTATTTATTCATTATATGTTTATCATATTATAAAAATTGTTTACTTTTGTATTACTTTATGATAAATATTAATTTATTAACATAGTGATAAGAACAGGAAAATAATCATAACAATATTTATTTGCATAAGTAACTGAAAATCAAATATTTATTTCCAAAAGAAAAATAATAAAATTTTTATGCGTACAATAGAAATAATTATATATTTATATTGAATAAAAATATTCTTATCATCTTTAAAAATAAGAAAATTATCTTTAAAGTAGTTTTTATAATTTGGATCATAAATTATATACTTAAAGATGTCTATTTTAATCCAGCTTATTTTTAATTAAAATAAATTACTATATTAGATACAGTAAGTAATAAGACTATTTTTAGTTATGAAAAAGATTGTCTGCCACCAGAATTATTTTTTGGGTTACAATTTGAAAAAAATTGTAGATCTATAAATTCCCACTGTCGTCTGTCTGACTGTCTTTCTTTAACCTCAAGAATAGAGTTAGATAGATGAAAGACGAGACCAGATATATCTGGTCTCGTCTTTCAATTTCATTATTTCAATTTAAAAATTTTTCCCTGAAATGTGTTAGATAGATGACCGGCACGACTCTATTGTTAAAGGAAAAGTATGATGTACAGGGGCAAGCCACTACTAATTTGAGGTGAAGAGCATATATTTTTAACTAAATAAATTTTAAAATATAATTAAAAATTGCAACCCGGCATTTTGACGATCTTACAAAAAATAATTTCTCGTTTCATTATAATAATTTTTTAATACAGTAGAAAAACGATCGTATTTTATAAGTTCCAGTAATACTTTTTGATTTCAATTGAATTGATTATTTACATCTAATTTCGAATCTATAAGAATGAATGAATGTATGTAATATAATACCACTTAACTAATTAATGGGTTTTTTTTGCCTTTGTGCCTACATTTAATAACATGAAAACTTATAAATACCTAAATAAAAATAGATTAAATAGATAGAAAACAATGTTATGTAAATAATTATAACATTTACCCAGAATATAGAAAGACGAAGTGAAACTAATAATTAGATTCCTAATTTCATAAAAATGCAAAAAATCATAAAATATTCTTGTGCTAAAGGTCCTATATTTACTTCAAAGCATTATCTACTACATTTCAACATTATCTGTATCTGTATATATTAAAAGCAAAATGTCCCGTCCATACTGAAATTGAAACCAACACGTTGCAAAGAAGCAGCTTGTAAGTAGATCACACCGGATCTCATATGGGGTCTACATTCGTCCCTCGAAAGGACCACCAGTAAACTTTCTCTTTGAACTCGACATGAATTCGTAGAAATGATTAACAAAGAGGAAGGAAGGTCTTTGCATAGAGATAAGAAACACAAAAAGTCCACTTTTGATTCATATTTGGACTTGAAAGAGGTTAATATTTTAGAATTATAAATGATTTACAGAAACATAAAATTATAGTTAAGTGATTTTTTTTCTAATGAATTTCTACATTCGTAAACTTGTAAATCATATTAAAACAGAATTTATTTTTGACATTTGAATATAAAATAAAATTCGTTAAATTTTTATTAACTTAGATACACAAAAATATTTTTTCTCATATAAATTTTATTACAGAACAAATAATAAAATCGCTCTTTGTATCTTAGATAAACTGTAGGATTAAATTCAAGATGGAATTCTAAATTAAAGTAATATAAAAAATTCATTTAAACGTTTTTGTAAACGTTATTTTTGCTTATTGTTAAAGTTGGCAGATGTTACAATATCGTAGATTGGAAAAAGTTAAATTTATATTAAAATTTAATTAAGTTACTGTGTAAAATGTCAATTATTTAAAAACTGTAGAATAATTAGTTTGTTGCTTATTTAAATTTTAAGGAATAAAAACAAATGAAAAATCATTGGTTATTAAATGTGAATAGTTTTTATTTTATTCGAATTGAGTTAGTAAATCATTAATCATTCTGAAATAGCAAAGAAATAAAAAAGGAATTTTTGAGTACATTTTTATTCGCCGATTCTGGATAAATTTATTAAAAATAA